ATAAAGTGGAGAGAAAGAGAGCTTGCGAGGGAGGAGTGCTGTTGTTGCTGCACCCTTTTCCCTTTGTACCATTATACGCAAGCTCGTCTCTCTCCTCATTGCTGCACCTGTGCTGTGCTTGTAATGTTTCTGCCGCGGAGGGTTCTAGCGCGACTTTTCCTTTGTAATACTCATTTTTCTCTCTCGACCTTTGCAAAAGGAAAAAAAAAATACACCAGCCCTTTAAACGCTCATCAAGCGCGTATAATTTGCATACTCGATCGAGAAAAACGGAGATATATACAGGGAGATGGCGATGAAAAGAAAAAAAGGAAAACGTTTTGCTTAGTGTTCACCCAACTATGTAAGTAAACATACTCACGATAAACTGCTCCCCCCCCCTCCCTCTACCGTGTAGAGACACCAAAATATATCTAACGGCATCAACATGTACATATAAACCTACAGTTTGTATAAACCAACAACATGGTTTGGTTTTTATAGGAAAATGAAGGTAAGCACCTACACACGTAGGATGGGTGGATATACGAGGAGGAGAGAGGCACACATCAGCTATGAGAGATGGGTATAGTAAAGGGTGTTGGGGGGAGAGGGAGGAGCCTCGAGTCGTGCAAAATCCTACGGGCACTCAAAAAGCAATTATACGTACCGATCGAACGCGCTAGCTGTATATATACACATACACGTACATATATAATGTATAGGGTTGAGGGGGTGCAGTGATCATGCGCGTGCTTTGTGGGGAGGGGGGGGGGTGAGAGCACCGAACAAGAACTCCTCATCCATACGCCCATACAGGGGGGAGAAAAAGCGCCTATAATTATAAATATACACATACGCGTTGTAGTATGCTATGTATACAAAAAATTGCCGAATAAATCGAAAGCTCCTGCACGGAGTGTCATTGAATACAGCTTGCGTGTCATTAGTGCTTTGCCATACAAATGTATACATATACGTACAGAGAGAAAGGGATAGTGCTTCGGTGCAGATATGGTTACGAAAGAGAGAGAGGGCAAAGGGTTTTATTGCCATTACGCTATGTATATATATATGTACTTGCTCTCTCGCTGCTGCTGTTGTTGGCCGGGTCGACGACCCATCAGAGAAAATCGTGGGATTCCAATCGCATGCACACACGTGTGTACGTACATGTACATCCATGTAACTGTATAGGTATACACCATGTATACTGCTATCTCTTGCTTTTATCGGAGAGTAAGAGGGAGAGAGAGGCCCTATATACGCGTGCGCTCGTATATACACAGTGTGCAGTGGTATTGAGAGATATAGCGGATATGGATGTACGCGATCGAAGCTCACTCGCTTTCGCCTTCTGTTATATACGCGTGGGTTGCTGCCTCTTCGCGTGCCCACCCCCGTTTTTTTGACGTTGCCGATATTCACGTGTACCTATATATATACATTTACACTTGCACCTATATGTATATACCCCGCCCAATGTGTGAGTGTGTGTGTGTTTTTGTGCGTGCACGCACACCTGTAGGCCGAGGGATGATGATGATGATGAGAGGGGGGGTGGGGGGGCGGTATTGTTTTCCTTTAGCTCGAGCCAGATGAAAGAGTACTAGCGAAAGTGAGGGAGAGAGAGAGAGAGAGAGAAGAGATGAAGTCCGATCGATCGGATGTGTGTTGCCGAGCATCGGCAGAGAGAGTGAGAGAGGGATTATGATGTGAGGAGTGTACCTGTTGTTTGCGTATAGGTATATATATATTCTATGGGTGTTAATTTTTAACCCCCCAATGGTGACCATTTGCCATCTTTTCTATCTGATGCTCGGCCGTAGGGGATGCGTGTATAGATGCGCATATTGGGGATGATGTTCCTCTCTTCCAAGTTTTTCGATATATTTTATTTCTTCTTTTATTGGTTTGATATGTAGTTTTGATGATGATTTTTTGCTCGAAATGTCCATCACAATTAACAACTTTGATAATAGGCAGAAGAAGGGATCGCGCGTCCGAAACAATGCAGTATCAATTGAATTAAATTTTATGCGAATACAAGGTAAATTATTATTATTATTATTATTATTGCTCAGGGTAAAATGTTCATGACCACCGCACCTTCTTCATACTTGAAATTTTACTGTAGCTTTAAACGAAAATACATGTATATATATTCGTTGTACGAGTGCAGTGAAAAGTAATATATTGTGTCGGAGGACAGACAAACAAATTCCCGTAGTGTGAAATTTTAAGCACATATAATAAAAAAAACTCCCAACAATCTCTCTCTCTCTTTTTTTTTTTTTTTTTTTTTTTTCTTTTTTTTTTCTTACCCCTCGCACGATACACCGCTACCCCTGTGTACAAAATACACAAACATATATATGTGCGTATTTTATATTCTGACGCATTTATATGGATGTATAGCGTGCGTGATCGTGGAAAACAAATGTGTACATCGCGTATACGGGAATAAGCGCGTGTATTTATAAATATTGTAAGTACGAAAATTTCCTTAGCAAAAAAAAAAAAATCAGCAATCGATAAGTACACGCAGCGCTTTCACATACACGCGCGCGCCTTTCATACATTGTATCCTCCGATTTCTAACGTCTTTTCTAAGTGTATTATACATATATTTCGACCGTATGGGAGATGTGTGTTAGACTCCTGCTCCGTTGCCGAGTGAAAGCACTGCCCAGGATCTATTTTGCAAGCATATTTGATTATAACTTGCGTGTGAAGAACATATATATATTAACTGTATATACACATAGGTATACCTGTTTCTGACTCTCCTCTTTCTCTCTTCCTTGGTTGTTTTTTTTTTTTTTTTTTTTCTCTCTCTCCATTCCCCTTTCCTTGTTCCTAACTTTGCCGGTGTGTTTGAGTGCGCGAGCGAGAAAACGCTGCTGCCGGCGATAGTTTATACCTGGTAATTTAAGTGGGACGAGCGAATACAACGCCGGGGGAATCTTAAATTGTTGACTCTATGAATATGATATATCGCGCTGTGGAGTCGGAGAGAGCTAGGCCTTCTTTGAGAGGCTAATAAGTTGTCTCATCGTCGCTGGAAGCTTGCGCGTTGATCGCTTTACGATGGGGGCTTTTTCACCTATGATGTATAATATATATGTTTTGTGTGCTGATGATCTGAATGCGTTTTTTTTTTTTTTTTTTTTTTTTTTTTTTTTTTTTTTTTTTTTTTTTTTTCTCCGTTTGGTCCGAGCAGAAAAGGTCAAAGATCTCGTGTACACACCTGAAAAACAACTCTCGCGTTAAATAGAGTGGTTATTGGGTTACACACAATGAACATTGCTTTTGTCGTAAAGGCAAGTTTTTTTTGCACCGAGTACAACTTGATCAAATATTTTTAATGTTCGTTTTTTTCTCGAGGTTTTTCTCTAGCGTATTTTCACGGTTTGTAACTCATGTTTTACATTGAGTACTTTGACTCATTGCCAAAGCTTGTAAATAGTAAATAAAACAAATAAAAGAGCATCGTAAAAATACTTTGGATTTTGTGTTGCCTCAAATATTTACTTTGCACCAGATAACGATAATGAAGCTATTTTTTCCACGCAACCCGATATTATAGCCTCCTAACGACTTTGAAATATCATCACGTTTTTGTTGTTTTATCCACTTATCTAAAAAATTCTTAACGTTTCACGCCATTCATGTGAATATTTACGCAGTTACTCCAATCTATTATCTTATAGTTAACTGCTTTGTAATGTGTAATTAATCAACTGCGATAACAGATACATGTATATTTTTGTCATTTTTCGTGTCCTTCATTTATAATGTTTTTCTGAGTCACTTCTGTTGGGATCGGAACTCAAGAGCCTAGTCTTAGAGCTTCAAATGTTTATCACAATGTTTAAGGATAACAACATGGAGGGCGTTGCTGTCGGAGAGCCTATATAAGAGCCTATACGGTTTTTCTAGATATCAAAGGGGCTTTTAATAATGTAGTTCCTGATATCCTGCTCAATGACTTAGTGGCATTGGGACTACCACACAGATACATATCCTTTATCAAAAACTTAATTTTTAACAGATTTTTAATACCTATAAATTCGGGTGCTAGAGGCAAGTTCCACGCAAACATGGGTCTTCCCCAAGGTCTCTGTTCCAGTCCCATCCTTTATGCTCTCTACACTTCTGGTCCGAGTAGGATTATGGATAAAAGGGTATCACTTCTAAGATTTGCAGATGACGAAGTCATATATACATCGCTGAAATCCGTACATGACGCGTTTAACCTTATGGACACAGAGGCAGGTAAAATGGAAGGATTCTTCTCAGGAAGAGGATTACAGCTAGAACCAAGCAAATGCTTCTTAATGGTCTTCAGTAAAAGTAGGTTTAAAATAGACCATATCTCTATCAAACTCTCCAACACACCTATATTCCCTTCAGACTACGTCAAATTTTAAGTTCCGATCCCAATAAATACTAAAAATAAAATGCGATTCGTTTACTCATAAGTAGGCAAGAAAAACAAAAGGTAACGACGCAGATAATCGCTGTAACCACGTTCCTTAGTAAAGTGCGTGCGTACGATTATACATATATATATGATGTCGGGTCCTTGACATGATTCAATATAAATATTTACCGAAAAAGTCGAGTAGAAGCTTCCGCCTCTTTTTTTTTTTTTTTTTTTTCCTTGAAACTTATATGTTTTGATAACTATTAATAAGATGTGTACTCATACTGGTGGAAATAGATATCGCGTTTCCAGTTCACCATCAATTGAACTCTCTGGAAACATTACTAAGTAGGTACTGCAAATTAATCATCAGCCTACAATAATGTCTTTTTTTCTATATATATATATATATTATACGAGCGCCGTACAAATAATAGTAAAAAACACAGCTACACACACAAACTAGTTAGCGGCTTAGCGGTACTGCGGCGCTAGCTTAGCGGAGCGTCAGTCCACGGAGTCCACAACATGCGGCCGCTGCGAGGGCGAAAAGGTAGAACTGCTGCTGCTAGGAGGTACTAAGTACGTCGTCTTCCGCGTCCGGTAATGTACTCTGCTCCTCGAAACCTAATCAACAGCAGAGAGTCTTTAAATAACAAGTGTCTTCAGCGCGTATCATCACGATTTGCAAAAGTACATACAGTGTCAGTGCGGGTACTGCGGGCGGTGGTGGTGGCAATGGTGTAACAGTGCAGTTGTATTGTTGTTATTGTTGTTCTCGTTGAAGGCACTCTCGTACTTAATCGCGGGGGGACATTGTTCAACAAAAACGACACCGACGATGACGACGACGTCGTCTCCTCGACGTGCATGGGACTCCAAATGATAAAATTGCGTGCTAACTTCGTCATCGTCGTGGTCGCGGAGTAAAATCCGCGGCCACGCGAATGAGCCCGGATTTATGGCGGCCCGAGCTGGTCTGCTCCTGCTCGGCATCTCGTTGTTGTTGTTTACGGAAGTCATCAGGCTTGCCGCACCTACAGGTGTGTAACTTACATCACCTACATTTCTTTCAATTTCCTGTTCTGTACATGTTACATTAATAACATCATCTTCATGGGGTATGCGATCCATAGCAACGTCATAAGTTGCCATGTCCCATATATCATTTTTATTATTGACTTTTGGAGCAACACATGATCGAGGCTCATACTTACCATCGTTTAAATACGCGTGTGCGTTGTTATATTCCTTCTTTTTTAAGCTTTTATTCCTTACACTTGTGTCCTTAGCAACCTTAAAGGACAGCAGGCCTCAGCCCAACAAAAATGCTTACAACTGTTTGTAACAAGTGGATAAGAATATAATTAATATTATTGATAATGAGAAGAACATGGGAGTTGCAGATATATGTGGAGATACATGTCTATGGGGTTTTACCCATAGATACTTTTTTTATATAAAACGAATGGATGGGATGATGGAATGCGTTTCGCATGGTGGTTCTGTGCTACCTATATACATTTTACTACACATAGGTATCTGAGCATAGGTATTGGTAGCAGGAGCAGAGAGATGGTTGTTGGATATATACTTGGATCATTTGGATGGTTCACAATGTTCACATGTGTACGTGTATACATTAATATGTGTGCTCGTTTCTCTTTTTTTTCTATTCTTGCTTCCTCTCTTTTCTAGTCTTTCTTTCGTTCTTTCTTACATATACATCTTTCTTTCTTGTGCTTACCTGACTACCACCACGTTATGCTCTATTGCTGCTGTTGTTGGGTGGAATGGGTATGAGAGAAGTGTAAGTATTAGTAGTGCGTATTATGTGTATATACCTCTGTGTTACTTGCGATAAACTTCCCTTCTTCTCCCTTTGCTCTTGGTACTTCTTGTATATATATACAATTATACATACATGGATATCCATATACCTACATAATACGCTTCGGGTGTAATTAGAGAGCGGAATGTTTAGCGTGTATAGTTTCACGCCTCCTCGCTCTCTCTCTCCCTCCATCTCGTTTTTTTTTTTTTTTTTTTTTTTTTTTTTTTTTTTTTTTTTTTTTTTTTTTTTTTTTT